CATCATCATCATCATCATAACCATCATCATCATCATCGCCACCACCATCATCATCATCATCACCACCATCAGCATCAGCATCATCATCATCATCATCATCACCATCATCGTCATCACCACCACCATCATCATCATCATCATCATCCTTGTCATCCTCATCATCACTAGCATCATCATCACCCCCACCATCATCCTCATCATCACCATCACCATCTGTTTCATCATCACCACCATCATCATCATCATAATCATCATCATCATCATCACCATCATCATCATCACCACCATCATCCTCATCATTACCATCATCATCATCATAACCATCATCATCATCATCATCACCACCACCATCATCATCATCATCATCACCACCATCAGCATCATCATCATCATCACCACCATCGTCATCACCACCACCATCATCATCATCATCATCCTCATCATCCTCATCATCACTAGCATCATCATCACCCCCACCATCATCCTCATCATCACCATCATCATCATCATCACCACCACCATCATCATCATCATCCTCACCATCCTCCCCGCCCCGACGCACCGGTGCGGCTCTGGGCGCCTCCTGCCCCCTCTGCGGGCCACGGCCGGAGGGCCCGTCGGCAAGCCGAGGCCGCCGCCGCCCCGCCCCGCCTCCACTCGGCGGCGAGCCCGGGGGAGGGGGGATGTCGAGAAGGAGAAGGCCTTCTCGGGAGCCTGGGCATCGCTCGGACGTCCATTCCCTGTGTGTTTTTTTCGATTTCGTGCGTGTTTGTTTCGCCAAATGATCAAGGATGCTCCTCGATTGTCCTCGCCGGAGGAAAAATGCACACGTCCGAGCGATGCCAAGGGGCGGCAGAGAGTCAAAGAGGGGGGTGATGACTGGGGGGGGGATTTCATGGCGTGGGCCATGATATTTATTTCCCCAGGCTTCATGGCGCCTCTTCTTCTGTCATTACGTCCTTGGCCCCCCCCCCCTTGGGCCGCGCACATGCCGCCGGCCATGCTTTGCACCCCCCTTCTTGGACACCCCCCTCTTGGCCGCCCCTGATTCTCAGAAGGCTCGGAAGTCCCCCAGCCTTCCGAGAAGTTTTCTGAGCCTTCCCTCATCGAGAACAAAAGGAACCCTAACCCAAAGAAACACGATGAAGACGTGGCCTCACTAAGGTCCCCGTCTTCGCATCAGGGATAATAGAGCTGGGCGGTTTGGCCTGATACATCTGCAGAAAAGACCCCCTATCCCCAACGTTCTTGGCCCTCCGAACTTAGGTCCCCTCCCAAAGGGTCAGGGGTACTTGTGTTGCTCATCATTCCCCAGAGACGCAGAACCATCTCCGAGAAGGCGCGAGGACTTCTAGGAGAAGCCCCGCCGCCTCCCGCGAGGGCCTCCTGCTTCTCACTCCCCCCCTCGCTCGCCGCCGATCCATCCTCCCTCCCTCTCGCTCCCTCCGCCCCTCCCCCTCTCCCCTCTCCCCCCCCCTCCTCCGCCCCGCCCCGCCGGCCAAGGCCGACCCCGACGCCCACCTGAAGCGGAGGGCCGCCCCGGGCTCGCAGCCGGACGCCAAGGCGGCGGCGCCCGCCTGACTAGGACGGGCGCCTCCGCGGGGGAGGACAGCCACGCGCAGAGGGGGGTGGGGGGAGGGGGGTGGGGGGAGGGGGGAGGGTTCCTTAGAAGCACCCCTGCTTCTTAGAAGGCGCGGGCCATATCTATAGGTGTAGGGCCGGCGCCTTCTAAGCAGCAGCCTCCTTCTCAGAAGCCCTCGCCCCTCCCCCCACCTTCTTGTGCGCGCCGCCAGGGAGGACGGGGGCGGGGGCTGCAGGGTCCACTTCAATCCGATGCATCCGGCTCGATCTCGATGCCGCCACCGACCCGAGCCAACGGGATGCCGACGTGCGGAGAGAGTCCGACGCGGCCCGGTGTCGGCAGGGCGCTGCTCTGCGTCCCGGTGCAGCCGACCCGGCTTTTCGACGCCGTGCCGAGGCAGCCTTGTCCGATGCACGTCTCGATCCGATCCGATTCTCGATGCCCCTGCGCGTCGTGGCAACACGGAAGCACATAATGGGAGCCGTTGCTACGTTCGGCCTCGTAAGGCCCTTGCTGGGCCCCGGGACCACCTCAACGCGATTCGTGATGATGGCATGTGTTTTTCGGACGTGGGTTCACGTTAAGCCCGAACTCCCATGAAAAAGACAATCGCAAGGCGCGACGAGGTGGGTCGAGCGCGGGCCCGAACGCGAGCGACACCGAGCGGAAGGGACCTACCGATGAGACTCGGGATGAACAACATCGGAAGATGGGGGGGGGGTGCAGATGGGAAGCGGAGGAGGGAGGAGGGAATAGGCAGCATGGGAAGGAGGATGATGCATGAGGATTAGGGGGAGGAGGTGTCGCAGGCAATGCAGGAGGAGGGGGAGGAGGAGAAGAGGAGGGGAGGAGGAGGAGGAGGAGGAGGAGGAGGAGGAGGAGGGGAGAGAAGGAGGAGGAGGAGGAGGAGAGGTGGAGGCAGTGAGGGGAGGAGGAGGAGGAGGAGGAGGAGGAGGAGGAGGGGGGAGGAGGGGAGGGAGGAGAGGAGGAGGAGGAGGAGGAGGGAAAGCAGGAGTGAGAGCAGGAGCCGCGGCGGACGCCTCTGCGTCACAGCGGCCAAGCGACGCGAGCGCTGGCTTGAGCGCTCGCGCCCGCCGGAGCGCGACGGCCGCCGCAGCCCAGCCCCGGGAGCAGGATCCCGCGGGCGGCCTCGGAGAGCGGCGGATCGCACCGTCTCGGATGTGGACAGACCTCCTACCCTGACACGTCGATTAAGGAGTTGGCCGTGTTCGGTTCGCGAGAGGGCGTCGCGGCCGTAATTTTGCGGGTCCAGGTCCGTCGGTTTCGGTCCCAGGCCGTTTTGCACTAAGGGGAGGTTGACTAAAGGGAGGTTTGTCCACCGCCGACCGTCGTCACAACGGGAAGTATTTTTTGAAGTGCCGACGGGTACACCAACCGCAGGGTTTCGAAGGAGAAAAAACAAGTGATTAGCAGGAAGCCCACCAGTCTGCTCGTCAGTGGCCCTGCCATAGACCGTGACTGCCAGTATGCTCTCTAGCCCACATGCACTTCGGAGGGGGATCGGTGGGATACCAAAAGAGGGTATCAAAGTACAGATGCGACAATGCATGGGACATCTCTCGGAAAGACCGAGAAGTGAACCGAGCTGGAGGGGAACACGGCTGTCAAACAGTAGATAAGCAGCCCCCCAGCAACAGTTTGGGGTCACGGGCCTTCCGTCCCTCCCTGCTATCCTCTTTTTGAGGTCGTGTCGTCGTCCCCTCCCCCCCTGGCTTGTGCGCTCTGCTAAGCCCGTCCCCTCCCCCTAGGGTAAGCGGAAGGGCCAGCAGCCGCTCCTCCCGCAGTGACACGCAGTGACTCGTGATGTAAGGTAGCGAGCCTCTCTTACGGGGCCACGTCGGAGCTCGGTCCTTGAGCTACGTGGTATGTCCTCTGCCGGCCCTTGTGGGAAGGCAGGGAGATAGCACAACCAATCGCAGGGGATGTTGACAGAAGTGCGGAAGACAAGTAGGTGTTCTGACGTTGCACCCCCTGTTTATGCGGATGTCATTGTCCTTGTCCTCCTCCTCCTCCTCCGCCTCCTCCTCCTCGTTCTCGTGGGCAGGCCTCCTCAGAGAGCGGCTGGGCTTCCCCCCTGGGGTTGGGAGTCCCCAGACCAGGTGGTGAGATATCAGATGGCGACCTGGAGTCCCCACAGTGTCACCGCTGGGCTCTGGGACACGGGGTCGCCGCCAGGTCCTTGTGACCCTTGGCGCCGCCAGCCTCGCCAAAGACCCCTCGAGTCCCCAAATCGCTTGGTGACACCAAGTCTCAGGAGGAAAAAAAACACTCAGACACATTTCGTCGTCGATGCACCAGAAAAGATGGGAAAATATAGGAAGTGTGGGGGGGAAACAACCCAGAAAATACGGGAAGATATGGGGAATCCTTTTGTCTTGTGTGTATTTACTTGTGTGTCCCAGGCCCCTTCAAAGTCGCCCGAAACTCACCGCTGGGTGTTGTCACCACCATTGTTGGGGACTGCCAGTGGGAGACGCCTGTGGGTGGTCCCAGGGATGGAGCCGGCGTAGCATACATGGAGCCGAGTGGATTCACGCGGCGCGGCACCGATATCGACGAGACGCGGCCGCGGAGCGCACGCTTCTTCGTGACGGCGTGCCGTGCAGTCGGATCGCGGGTTTTGTGCCAGGGCTGGACCTGAACGCTGTTTTTCTGGACTTCGGATGGCGTTTTTGCAGGAAGGTGCGGAAAAGTCAATAGAGCGAACAAAACGAACACAAAGCGAAGCACAACGTTTAGATCCAGCCCTGCTCTGTGCAGCCAAGACGCTGGAGCAAGGACCACTCTCGTCTCGGGAGGGGCCTTGGGTCGCTCCTCAGGTCTAGGCTTAGCTCGGGCATGTCCCCATAGAGGCGGATCGTTGTGCGAAACTTTACAAATAGTCAAGAAGAGTTGCAACACAATCAAAAGTCGTCCCCTGACTATTATGGACAATGTTTGAATGTTCCTCCTGTAAAGGGACGCTCCCGACTTAAGTGCAGGCCGCGGACGCTATTCGTGGCCGAGGGTCGCCTTGGCCAGAGAAGCGTCTGCTTCCACTGCTCAGCCTTCCTGGTGCTAGCGTTCAGTCGGGCCTGTCCCTCTACAGGAGTAGATCTCAAAACCAGTGAACAGTCGGGGGGGCGACTTTCCGAGCACTGTCTTGCAATGTTCTTATGTGTTTGACTATGTTCGGTGTGTCGTCCAGAACCCGCCTGTACAGTCAACGCGCCTAGTAAGGACGCGCGCCTTCCTCTAGTGTACCCTTGAGTCCTTGTCTCTGCAGCCCGTCCTTCGCCGTTTTCACTGGCCGCCCCCCGCCCCCCAAAAATCCAACTTCGGCCTCCAAGGGTCTTGCGTCCTCACCTCGCGTCCTTACTATCCGTTTTGGCTGTCGGAGGAAATCCCGGACCCGATGCCAGCACGAGGGCTGGTTTCCTGGGGGAGGCGGGCTGGCCTCCGCCCCGGCCTGGCGCCTTGCCCCGCGGCCAGGAAGCCTTCGGCCTCCGAGTGCGAGGGTGTGGCCCGAAGGAGGCACACGACCACCTCCTCCTCCTCCTCCTCCTCCTCCTCCTCCTGCTCCTCCTCCTCCCCCTCCTCCTCCCCCTCCTCCTGGATTCCCTTGGGGGATCATCCGTTAAAATTGTAACGATACAGAGAAGATTGACTTCTCCCCCCCCTCCTCCTCCTCCTCCTCCTCCTCCTCCTCCTCCTCCTCCAATTCCTCTTCCTCTTCCACGTTCATCAAAACATCGGGTGCCAACAACTGGCCCGGGTGGAGGGCAGGGGGGGGGCTCTTCTGCTCCCGTATCTTTGCGTGTGCGCGCTCGCGCGCGAGGTCAGCGTGGTGCGCCGCGCACCCGCCAGAGCCAAAGTGTCCGCACGCTCCCCGCGCAGCAAGCCGGGCGTGCGAGCTCCCGCGCAAGACGGGATTGGGGGCGATCCCCCCGTGGCCTTTGCTACAAAGCGCCAGCACCATTGTCGCGCCTCCCTCCTACTACCACATATCCATCAAGTCGGCGACGATTCGTCAGTTCTGATCAGGAACGCGCTGACTTCGTTTGGGGCTCGATTCATAGCAAAGCGGAGGGCCCCGCGTTGGGTCCCCAATCGGGGCGCTCAGCTGGGACTGCGGGCACTGAGCCCGCAGAGCGGGAGCATGGCGAGTACCCCAGAAGGGGAACACCTGCATGCCAATGAATCATGCCGTGGCGACGCTGCGGCCTCTTGGGAGCCTCCTGGGGCGTCTTGGGGGCCTCCTGGGAGGCCTCTTGAGGCCCCTCGGTGCCTCCAGGTGGTCTCTTGGGGGTCTCTAGGGGTCTCGTGCTTGGGGCCTCTTGGGGCTTCCTGGGGCGGCAGGTTCGAAATGTCGGCCCGTGCTCCCCCTCTGTGGCCCCTCTCGGGGCCTCATTAGGGAGCCCTCTGGGGCCGTCTCTTGGCCCCGTGGGCAGTCTTGGGGCGATTTTGGGGGCCTCTTGGGGGCCATCTTCGGGCGATCTTTGGGACCTCTTACGCCGTCTTGGGGCGTCGGGAGCTCGAGCGCCCTTCAAACACCTGGGGGAACTCCATGATGTTTGCATCAGTTAGTCCTCTTGGAGGTCCTCTTGAAGCCCTCTTGAGGCGTCTTGGCGGCCTCTTGGGTCATCGTGGCCCATCTTGAAGCCGTCCTGGGCTGTTTGGGGCCCATGTTAGGGATACCTGGGCCCGCCTGGACCTGTCTTGGACCATCTCGAGCCGTATTGGTACCCCCAAATGGGCCCTCGAGCGATTTTCGGGGTGCCGCAGCGCTTCGCGCGCTGCGCCCCCCTACAAATCTTCCTCTGGGCTCCGAAGCAGTCCGCTATGATCATGGCAGGCCTTCCAGCCTGCGCCCCCCCCCCCCGACAAACCTTCCTTCGGGCTCCGACGTAGTCCGCTATGCTCACAGCAGGCCCTCCAGTCTGCCCGTCCTGCCTGGAGCCTTCCAGCCTTCTGCGCTGCTGCCCCCCGGCACAGCTGGGGCCTGACGGGGGGGGGGGCCGCCGCACGGAGAGCCCACAGGGCGGGAGGGGAGCCGCGGCGGCCCCCCCGTGCGACGAGAACCTCGCCCGCGGGCGTCGCCCGGGGCGTGCCTCGATGCCGCCTGGGGGCAGCTGGAGCTCCGGGGCTCTGGCGGGCCCCTCTTGTTTGGGCCCTCCTCGGCCGCATGGAGCCTCGCCGGAGCCGAGGAGGCGGAGGAGGAGGAGGAGGAGGAGGAGGAGGAGGAGGAGGAGAAGAAGCAGGAGGAGGAGGAGGAGGAGAAGGAGGCGGAGGAGGAGGATCAGGAGAAGGAGCAGGAGGAGGAGGAGGAGCAGGAGGAGGAGGAGGAGGAGGAGGAGGAGGCGGCGGAGGAGGGGGAGGAGGAGGAACACGCCCAGGCAGCTCGCGATCTGGACGGCCGGCCTTCTCTCGCCTCGGTGGGCTCCGGGTGCGCGCGCGCGCCAGGAGGGGGCGCCCCCGCACGCGCCGCGGGCGCCGCGCCGCGCGGCCTCGGGCCCTGGCCCCGCCGGTGCGGCGCGGGTGCTGAGCGCTGGCTTGAGCGCTCCTGCCCGCGCCGCCGTTTTTTGTTGTCGTGGGGTTCTCGGTCCTGGAGACGAAACTTAGGTCGGGCCTGTCCCCCTACAGGGGGATTTTCGACGAAAGATAAAAGATACCCCCCTTAAAGGTATAAAAAACTAAAAATCCCCCTGGAGGGGGACAGGCCCGACTTAAGACTAAGCTGTTGTTGATGCCCCCTGCCCGGTAAACATGGTATTATTTCTTCGATTCGGAGCCTGAGAGACGGGGGTCCATGCAGGCGGGGGTTAGCCGTGGCACCGGAGCCTGCAGGATCCTGCGAAGGCCCCCTCTGGCTGGCCCGGGTCAGCGAGCCGCTCGTGGCCGCGAGGCGGCCGCGCCTATTGGCTGACCCGGGTTTGCGAAGTCCTGCGCTGCAGCTTGTTTTTCCTGCATTGCAGTTTTTTGATTTCCTGCTGGCCTGGGTCTGATTGTCCCGGGTTAGCAGATCCCCGATCCATTGAAGTGTTTCTCCAAGGGTTGAAAGCGAGGGTCACCAAGCTTCGATGTTGGGCCCCGAACCACAAGAGCAGCAACAACGGCTCCCGCCGAATATTTCCTCAAGACTTATTCCCAAATCGCGCTCTCGCGCGGGATTTCGTCACAACTTTCGCAGGAATCGTGCTCTCGCGTGGGACCGCCTCGCTATTTATTCAGACGCCGCGCCCTCGACACTCCTGTCACGCTCTCGCTGTGGATTTCTTGACGCTTTATTTGGGAGATGCGCTATCGCTCGAGACTTCCTCGCGACTCATGCAGGACGCAAGCCTCAGCAACCTGCCTGCTCGACCTGGCCGCCTCGGCCCGCCTTCCCGACCCGCCTGTCAGTGTCTACACGCCCGATGTGCCCGTCTGGTTCTGCCACGTGTTTTCTGCTCCTATCCCCCCTCCTGCTACTCTCTTGTGCTCCATCATCCTCCCTCCCCCTTGTCCCTTCCTTCCATCCGTCCTCTCTTCCTCTGCCCTATGGGCTGCAAGAAAAATACACGTTGCAAGTAAGAACGATATATATATATATACACACACCCCAAAGGGGGTACGACCGAAGGCGAAGAGGGAGGGTGTCGCGGTTTGGGTAGATACACCTTGAATGGCCCGCGAGCAGATAAGAGCTACTTAACTTGATAGTTGTTGATTGTGGTGTTGGTGTTGGTGTTGTTAGTGGTTGTGGTGGTGTTGTTGTTGGTGTTGTTGGTGTTGCTGTTATTGTTGTCGTTGTTGGTGGGGGTGGTGTTGTTGTCGTTGCTGTTGTTGCTGTTGTTGTTGGTGTTGCTGTCGATGTTGTTGTTGTCGGTGGTGGTGTTGTTGTTGGTGTTGGTGTTGGCTTTGGTGCTGGTGGTGTGGTTGTTGTGGTTGTTGTTGTTGTTGTTGTTGTTGTTGTTGTTGTTGTCCGTAAGGGCTTCGCCCCCTGCCGCCGGCCCCCTCTCTCGGAGAATGGGCCATGGAAGAGCTAAGTCATGAGGCCTTGGCGCTGTCGTGAAGCAGTATCGAAACTTCATGCGAAGCCGATTCGCAATCAGCAAAACCAACTGATCACAAGAGGGGTTACCACACCTGGCGATTGGTAAGACGTGTATGGTTTACGGGCTTGGTTACCACACCTTGCGATTAAAGGGCCGAGGGAGTTCTCGCAGTTTGGGTTACCACGCCTTGCGATGGATGTGCGTGAAGGGTGGCACCGAATTTCAGAAATGTGGCAAATCCCCCTGTGTTTTTGGACCCTGACCCCGCGGATCTGCGTGAGGGGTGGCACCGAATTTCAGAAATGTGGCAAATCCCATGTGTTTTTGGACCCTGACCCCGCGGATCTGCGTGAGGGGTGGCACCGAATTTCAGAAATGTGGCAAATCCCATGTGTTTTTGGACCCTGACCCCGCGGATCTGCGTGAGGGGTGGCACCGAATTTCAGAAATGTGGCAAATCCCTGTGTTTTTGGACCCTGACCCCGCGGATCTGCGTGAGGGGTGGCACCGAATTTCAGAAATGTGGCAAATCCCCTGTGTTTTTGGACCCTGACCCCGCGGATCTGCGTGAGGGGTGGCACCGAATTTCAGAAATGTGGCAAATCCCTTGTGTTTTTGGACCCTGACCCCGCGGATCTGCGTGAGGGGTGGCACCGAATTTCAGAAATGTGGCAAATCCCTTGTGTTTTTGGACCCTGACCCCGCGGATCTGCGTGAGGGGTGGCACCGAATTTCAGAAATGTGGCAAATCCCTTGTGTTTTTGGACCCTGACCCCGCGGATCTGCGTGAGGGGTGGCACCGAATTTCAGAAATGTGGCAAATCCCTTGTGTTTTTGGACCCTGACCCCGCGGATCTGCGTGAGGGGTGGCACCACCGAATTTCAGAAATGTAGCAAATCCCTCCCCTGTGTTTTTGGACCCTGACCCCGCCGATCTGTGTGAGGGGTGTCGATTTCGAGCCCCCCCAGCAATTCAGACAACGCGCCCAGGAGGTGCTAAATATCCCGTTTGGGCCTCCCCCCCCCTCGCGCGGTCAATCAACTAGTTACAGTAACCAGCAAGAAGCAGAACTGTAACACTGGAAACTACAAGCTACAACTGGTACAGGAAACTGCGAATCCCGCGCCTACAGCCTGGTGGCCCCACAAGGGGGCCGGCGGATTGTTGTTGTTAGTCGAGCATGTCCCTCTACAGGAGGAATGTACAACTATTGTTTAGCACACAGCCTGGTGACTATGTTTCGTGTTCTTTGTGTGACTATGTTTAACTATCCTTGACATGCCATTGTTCTTCCAACGTCATGTTCGACCTAACGACATGCCCGACCCAATATGTTCAAGAGCGTTCGGGAACGCTCTTAGAGCGTTCCGGAACGCTCTGAGAGCGCGGTGCCCGAGACCTCCTCCAGAGCCGCCAAATCTCTGAGCTTGCCGATCTATACACAACCGATGTTACCCTCGTCCTGGCTTCGTCCTACATTCAACCCGCCCAACAAGGGTGGGCATCCTTCCCAAGGGTACCCTGACATCCTTGCCCCTTCCGCCCATCCTTGGCCACTTTCGCTGGCCCCGCCCCGCTCGAAGAGCTTCGAAATGGCCTCCCAAGGTGCCTGCATCCCTATCGTGCGTTCTTATGACACGGGTCGGCTGTGCAGGGGTTCGGGTGGGGGGACGCGTCGCCCATGCATCGCCCGACAGCCCAGCCCGCTCTGGGGCGCGCAGAGCTGCCATCGGCGGAGGAGGAGGAGGAGGAGGAGGAAGAGGAGGAGGAGGAGGAGGAGGAGGAGGAGGAGGAGGAGGAAAAGGAGGAGGAGGAGGAGGGGGGGAGGGGAAAATAGAGGAGAAAGAGGAGGAGGAGGAGGAGGAGGAGGAGGAGGAGGAGGAGGAGGAGGAGGGTGGTGGGGGGGGAGGAGGGGAGGAGGAGGGAGGAGGAGGAGGAGGAGGAGAAGTGAGGAGGAGCAGGAAGCATGAGGAGAGGAGGAGGAGGAGAGAGGGGACGGATGAGGAGGAGGAGTAGGGGAAGGAGGAGGAGGAGGAGGAGGAGGAGGAGGAGGAGGTCGGGGAGGGGGGCATCCCAGTCCCCCCAGATCCCCCGCCCTACCCGTGGCAGTGGCGGTGGACAAGTGGCCCAACACCTGCCGCTGTGGCGACGAGCACTCCGAGGGGAGGGGGGGGCTCCGGAGGGGCCTCGGAGATGCGGGCCTGCGTCTCGGGCCTTCGTCGGGAAAGGGCCGCCGGCAGACCGAGGCGCAGCGGATGTATCGCTGTGCACGAGCATCCAGCCTTGAGTCGGGCATGCCCCTCAAAAGGAGGAATGTTCAAACATAGTCCAAAACTAGTCTGGGGACGGCTATTCTAAGGTGTCTTGCTATGTTTATTCCTATGTTATGCGTCTTAGCATGTTTGTTATCATTATTCATATTCTTGTGATTGTCATTATTCGTCTTACTCGTTGTATCATTATTCTTATTACTTGTTCATTCGTATTCGTATTATTCGTATTATTAACAATCTTATTACTGACATTTTCAATTTTATTCGTTGTGTGGACTTTTAAAATTATTCCAAAATCCGCCTGTAGGAGGCCATGCCCAACCTAGCTCTAGCCTCTGGGTTCTAATCCAGATCCACTGCGCCCCCGGTTTCCGGGGAAGGGAGCCCGAAACTTCACGACGCAGTTGATGGGGATGCACATCTTGCCCGCCAGAGGATGCCCAGAGGTGCGCCGCAGCTGCGCGGGAGTGGGGCCAGCGCACGGCGCCGAGAGCGAGACCTGGGGGGAGCCCCGCATCTCGCCGATGCATTGGCGCTGCGGCTCGACGTGAAGCCCGAGTCCCTCCACGCGGACGGCGCTGATTCGGGCGATCGCAACCATGGACCAGGGGGACATGGATCAGCGACGGGTCCCGTTTCCATGGGAGATTGCGGATTGCCGCCACCGAGCGAGGCGGCACCAGCCGCATTGTGGCGAGGGCACCTCCCCCGATCCATGGATTTGGCGGCCGCGCGCCAAATCCATGTTTGCGCGCCCCCGACTGATGTGTCGCCCACGTCGCCGATGCGTCGCCGGTGCATCGGCGATGCACTGGCGATGCGTCGAGGTCCTGCAACCCCGATCTACCCGGACCTCCGATACTCGTTTGGGGGACCTTTCTGGGGCCCACCTAATGGATCTGTTTGCCTCCAGTTCGACTCCAGTTCGACTCAAGTTCGACTCAGGTGCGACTCAGGTTCGACTCGAGTTCGACTCAGGTTCGACTCGAGTCGACGGACGTTCGACGCAGCTTCGACGCACGAGTGGAGCGAGTGGCTCCAGGAGGGTCCCCAGAACGAGCAGCCAACGGACGCTGTCCAGGAGACCTCTACAGATGAGATCGACCTGGGTCCGACCGTACATCCTCCTCAGGCACCGGATCTCAGAGTCTCGATGCATCCTCACCCGAAGTTGTCCTCGTCCTGGCTTCGTCCTGTTTGCTCGGGGGCCGTCCCACCTCTGGCCCCGTATCCCATCCCCCCCTCCGCTCGCTCGACGGGACGGGTCCGACCAGGATCGGTCTGGCACCCAGACATCCGACGATGTGATTTTTCCCCCGCGCGGCCCCAGGGGTCCCGATCCTCTTCCAGGGGTGGGGGGGTAGTTGTTGGATCACGAACCACTGTGTGGCTGCGTGGGGGGCCCGATGTCCAACCAGGATCGGTCTGGTACCCAGACATCTCACGATGTGACTTTTCCCCCGCGCGGCCCCAGGGGTCCTGATCTGGTTCGGGGGGGGGGTAGTTGATGGATCTTGGAGCATTATTTGACTGCGCGGGGGGGGGGTCCAAGGACGGGATCCCGAGGCCGGGGAGCAAGGAAGAACGCCCAGGCAGAACTTGTAGCAATCGTTCTCTCATCCACTGTTGCCCTCGCCCCCCCCCCCCCGAACCAATAGTGGGGACTATTGGATACCCCACCCCACCGTCTTGTTTCTACCTCCGCCCCCCCCTCTTAGCCCCCCGTCCCCTCCGCCTCGGTCTCCTGTCCTCACCGTCGGAAGGGGGTCCCCCCCCTCCGCGGAGTAGATCTTGGCTGTTTCTGGCGCCTGTTTCCAGCAGGTGGAGTCTGAGTCTCCCCCCAGAAGACGCACTGCTGCACGCAGTCGCATTGAGCAGCGGTCCGGAGCCAGACCTCCCCCCCCAGTGCATCCCCCCCCCTTTCCGCCCAGTGCCGAAGCGCCGAAGAAGAAAACGCTCACCAACAGTCGTCGGAGATCCAGGAGGAGGAGGAGGAGGAGGAGGAGGAGGAGGAGGAGGAGGAGGAGGAGGAGGAGATGGAGGAGATGCAGGAGATGGAGGAGATCTGGGCACTTGTGCCGTCGGCGCCCGCCTTGTAGTTCCAGCCACGGCCGCAGCCCGGTGCCGATGGGGTGTTCTCCCTCCCACGGCGGAGCGTGCTCGGCCATATGGGCGCCGCGCGCAGGGCGTGAGGCCGCGCGCGGGCGCTTCGAGGCGCGCCGTTGTCGCCGCGGAAAGGGAGCGCCGCCCAGAG